TGGACGGCGCGGAGCTTGGGGTCGGGAGCGGCTCGCGGAGCGGGCGCACCGCCCGGGCCTTCCACACCCCCTTCCCGTTCTTCTTGACCTTGAGCAGCTGTGGCTGCTGGGTAAAGTGGCGAAAGGCCTCGGCTTTGGGCTCGCCGCGGGCGGTAAACTCGGCCTCGTATGATTCAAACGCAGCGCTGATCTTGGCCATCATAGCGTCGAGCTCGTCGCGGCGTTCGCGAAGGAGGAGGCGGCGCTCCCGCTCCTCGCGACGGCGCTCCTCCTCTTCTGCGCGGCGGCGCTCCTCCTCGGCCTCGGCTAGCGCCTGCTCTTGCTGAGCAATGAGGCGCGCCTGAGCGCGCTCCTCGCGACGGCGGACACGCTCTTCCTTCTCGCGGGCGGCAGCCTCGGCCTCGGACTCGGCCGCGTGTGCGTCGAGGCGCGACGACCGCCGCGCGCGGGTCCCACGCCGCGCCGCCTCCTCGGCCTCGCGCTCGGCGAGCTCGCGGGCAAGGCGGAGCGAGGCCTCGCGCTCGGCAGCGCGCTCGCGGCCCTTCTTCATCAGGCGCGACGACATCTTGCGCGGGACCAGCGAGCCGGCGTGGACTCGCGAGATGCGTGCCTCCTCGGCAGCCTCGGCCTTGAGGTTCGGTAGGATGCGCTTCTTGATGGCCTTGACAAGCTCCTTCTGGTCGAGGTCGCGCGATCTGCCCAGCTCCTTCAGCACCGCCTTCCAGTCGTCCTCGCTCGACGCAATGTTCTCCCACAAGTCCGGCTCGTCGTCCGGGGTCTCCGTCTCGCGGTAGAGGCGCAGCCCGCCAAAGTAGTAGTACTGCCGGTCATCAGCGTCGTAGCCGAGGAGCTCGACCCGCAGGTCGTTGCCATGCATGGCGTGTGCCGCCTCTGTGACTGGCTTGGAGTACTCGAGCTGCCAGAGGCAGAGCGTGTGGAGCATGCACACCCGGTCCTCCAACGTGATGTCCGAATACGACAGATATGGCACAGAGCCGTCTTCGTCGGCCTCGAGGTACTCGGCCTCCTCGGCGGCAGCGGCAGCGGCAGCCTCCTCCTCGTCATCCGAAGACGAGCCCATCTCACCGGCGGCGCGCTTGGCCTCTCTCTCGGCCTTTTGCCGGCGGGCGTGGGCGCGGGCAATCTGGCCGTGCGAGTATGCCGGCGGGCGGAACGGGTTCGAGTCGTCCCAGTCGTACTCGGCCTCGTAGGTGTCAAAGACCTCTGCGAGGTAGTCGACGTAGGTGAACTCGTCAATGACACGCGACTTTGGCAGCATGGCGCGGAGGAGAGCAACATGAATATCAGCCAACAGTTGATTGCCAGGCACAACCAAGGCCATCTCTAGATTGGTGACTGTAAACCTGGGACCATCCAGAGCATCAGCAAAGACATTACAGAACTGTACAATCGACGGTATCTCCCACATGGTTCTCAGCTCGAGAATTTGCGAGACTACCACCACCAGCACACCCATACCCACACAACAACGACGACCACCAGCCATTGCCCCACCAATCACAATGTGAGTCATTCATGTGTACCATGTGGGGGAGGGGGTAGGGGGTAGGGGGTAGGGGGGTGGGGGTGGGGGGGGGAGGGGAGGGAGGGGAGGGGAGGGGAGGGGCAGGATACTACCATGGGCTAGCCGGCATGGTGGAGGCCGTGGGTGGGTGGGGTTACGGGTGTGGGAGGGAAGGGGAGAGGGAGGGGAGGGGGGAGGGGAGGAAATGGGGAGTTGGCCTTGCCTACCTTGGTCTGGCGGCAGTAGGCTGAGGTCGCCCATGGTGGTCGTCGCCGGGGAGGAGAGGGGTGGCCGGAGCCGGAGGATCGGGCGAGAGGAGGGGGGGGGGGCAGGGCAGGGCAGGGCAGGGCAGGGCTGGAGGGTTTGAGATGGATGCCGGGCATGGGGTCTCTCGCACTCACTCGAGCTGCGGCCACCAGGTGGCGGGCACCGGGAGCTGCTTGGTCGAGGTTGGCGAGATGAGGAGGTCAGCCGAGGTGCGGAGGAAGGCGCGCCAGGTGGGTGACATGTAGTGGTCGGTGACGGCGTCGTCGGACTCCCACACCTCCCAGAACATGACCGTTGACGGATCGCCGCACTGCTGCTTCATGTAGAGATGCAGGCAGCCGTCAGCGGCGCGCGAGTCCTTGAGGTAGGTCGAGGCGGCGGCGACAAAGGCGTCGACGCAGTCGTCGTCGACGTCAAAGACGCGCATGACAACAAGGACGGCCTCGTCGTCGTCGTCGGCAGAGCCCTCCTCCACCGGCACAAACTCAACCTTGGACACGTAGTTGTCGACGTACTTGCGGAGGCGGTCGATCTGAGCGGTAAGCTCATCGAGCTGTGCCGGCGGCACGCTGGCGGCGGACGCTCCCGCCGCGCCAGGGAACCCATCGTCGCGCTCCAGCGCCGGCGACGCCGGCGGGAGCTCGGTCCGATAGGTAAACTGCGAGCCTTGAATGGCGACGCGGACCTCGGGTGTCGGCTGTGAAGAGATGATGTTGGGCAGCGCCGTGGCCGAGTCGCGCCGCGCACGGTCCTCCAGCGCGTCGACCGCGCGCTCCAGCGGCTGCGACATGGCGTTGAGCTGGCGGTACGCCTCGCGGAGAAGGAATCGAGTGCGGAACTGATGGAATGCGTCGGCGTTGGCATACTCGGCGGCCGACGCCGAGAGCGCAGAGCCGACCGATCGCGTCACCGCATCCAGGGCGTCAAAGAGGCTGACGTACGTCTCGACTCCACCGGAGAACCACTCGCACAGCTCGCGATGATCAATGTTGGCAGACCCGTCTTCATCGATGCGCTCAAACAGCTCGTCCAGCTGGGCCTTGGTCAGAATGCCGTCGTCAAAATACGCGTGGAATTCCTCCAGCGAGATCTGTGGATTGCAGAGGCAGGCCAAGCCATGCCTCCCCCCCAAAAGTGAGTCTTTGGCTTGAGTTCTGGAAAAAAAGGCACATTGCTCGCCGTTGCCCAACACACGCCAGGTGCCAACCCCCCCCCCCTGCCCCTCGTCCTCGCACTCCTTCTTCCATGGCTCTGTGAGAACGTACCCGGTCGTCGTCGTTCTTGTCTGCCCTCCGGAAGATGTCCAAGAGGAGGTCCATGCCCGGAGCAGTGGCGTCGTTGTCAGCCATGGTATGTCTGTGTGTGGGAGGGTGTGGGGGAGAGTGCGGTGGCGGTGGCGAAAACCTGGCTGGAGGGGGGGGGAGGGGGCAGGGGGGCAGGAGGCAGGGGGGTTGGGGGTTGGGGGGGGGGGGGGGAGTGGCTTGTCGATCGATCCTGGGGAGTGGAGCGTGTGATGGCGAGTGTGATGGCGAGTGTGATGTGTGTGGAGGGGAAGGGGGCAGGGGGGGGTCTGGTGGTGAGGTAGTTCCTTGTATGCGAT